AAATAACGATTCTGCCTACTTTGAATAAAAAAATTCATGGCCCAATAAAATGAGTCCGTTTTTTAAAAGGCTGTTGGCTATGATAGCGTAGATATTCTAGAAAGCGGCGTAGCAGCTCCTTACAAATTATAAGAAAAAAAACGCACTTGGCTTTTCCAAAAATCGAAATAATCCTTGCTTCATAACACCATTAAGTTCAGAAAGACATTTTCCCTTCATAGGTTGGAAGGGAGGAAGTTTGAGGAAAGAGAATGAAAAGGGAGTGGAAGTTTGGAGTTTCAGTGGGTTGTTTCCATGACAAAATGCAAGCATTAAAAGAGGGCACTTGAAAAGTTCTTCCTTTTTAACCTGCAAACAAAATCAGTAGTGACCAAATGTGGTCACGAATGGGACGTAACACTTGACAATCCGACCATCGTTAGGAAGAGAGGGCGGCTCTTTTCTGACTGGCTGGGTATCAGAAAATAAAGCTGCCGATGGAAGGTTGAGGGGAAGACGGAGGGAAAATTGTTACGGCTGTTATTTATATTATCCAAAGATATTTCAAAAAAACTCAGGACTGAGTTAAAACAATGTTACGAATTTCTAAATGTTTCGGAACTTCGGATTGGGGATACTTCACCTATATCAGCTAAAGGCCGTGATAACAATATCAGCTGTTATCTCTGCAAAAGCCTCATTTAAAAATCAATAAAGACCAGACTGAAACACCTAAAACTCACAGCAAGGCTGCTAAAAATGAGCCATAAAGCTGTTATTTGGACACATTCAGAACAGTTCGAAAAATAATCGATGTAACAAATTTCTATCAGGCCGCAATTAGTTGGCTATGCTTAGTCACTGGATGCTGAGAAAATTCCTCGGAATGAGACAAGAGGAAATAAAAATACGTCACTGTTAAGCAGCAGCTAATGCTTCAGAATAAGTCACAATTAAATAATTTCTGAGGTTCACACCGATACCGTTTCGTAGATGCTTGAAGTTGATAGATCCTCTGACTCTATGACTAGCAACACGAGAAACAAGAAAATAGCTCTATATACAAAAATTCCACGTTTCGACCGAATTGGCATCGGTCATCATCAGGGAATGAACACTAAATAAAAGCAAACTACTATTTGATGCTTAACTCGATTGGTTGTAAGCTAGACCGGTCGCAAATTAACTTTTAATCATGGTCCACACCGATTAAACCTTAATGTAACCAACACAATCGTTTCAAATTCTATTTTACCTGGCAGCGATGCGTAGTGACTCCTTGGTTAATAGCTTCACGTTATTCGGATGTTGATTGACCACCGTTACATCGATGTTGTTAAAATCATCACCATACTCTAGGACATGAAAAAACAAAACCAGAATGATCAGCGTTACGATACAGGTTTGCTCTTTCGGTCAGGTACTTTAACTATAACCATTCTGGTGAAGGACAAGGTGAAGCAATTACTCTTGCAGTCCCTACACATCGCTGTCAGTAAAAATAGAACTTGCAGTGGTTGCACTGGTACCACTGACATTTTCGCGGCGTGGAGCATGATTAATAGCGACCGGTCTAGCGTCCAACCACAGGTCAAGTATAAATTGACCCAGCAGCTTATTTTTATTTCGTGTTCATTCCTTAATGACGATCCTGCCAATTTGGTCAAAACGTCATAATCCTTGTAAATGAAATTTTAGTTCCTCGTGCTGGCGACTACGGAATCAGAAGACCTATCACTTTCAACCCACAAGTAGACAATCAAGTTAGATATAGTTAGATCGCAGTTAGGTATAGACAAAAGTTACACCTTTAATTAAAAATTTATGTTAAGAAAAAGAGCACGTTGACATGAATCCTGATTAAAATGAATGCCGATGCCAATCTGTCTCTATTCTTCTGCGAACACATACTCAGTACATTTAGTCTTGTCATTACCTGCTGCAGACTAACAAGTTCGGTGGACGCAACCTGGTTTTACAGTTTACAACCGTTCCCTAGCTTGTTGTAAGCAAAATTATGCTCCTCCTTTTTCTTCAAATATTCTTTTTAATAGTAATCCTTTTATAAATACATTGGCTTTTTAGTCAAGTTTTATTACCTTATTTATTTTATGACCTTCTATCGCTTTCAGTCACTCGCTCAGTTTCCTGCCACTGCCGTTACTTCGTCGCGGCAACACTTCTCTTGGAGTTTTACTTTCTTCTGCATTTCACAGAGAGCACAAGCGTACTTATTCCTCGCATCCTCGTTTTACATGGCAAATACAACGACAACCGCTTTCAGTCAATATGCTTCTTTTTAACTCCGGAATAACCAAAAAATTTGCTTTGCATTAGTGCTACGCTTAGACTGTCTTTTACCATGGTATTTCGCAAGTGCCTCAAAAGGGATACAATCACATATAAAGCAACTTTCAACACCAACAATAAAGTTAGAGTGCATTTAAGCAAGAAAGTAACGAACGGCTAAAGCTTACACAAACAGTCGTCTCGAACTTGAATTGGAATATACGTCAAGTCGTTCTGGTCAAAGAGCTCCTCATCAATTTCTTGAGCCGATTTGCAGTATTTAGCAGCCTACAAAAATGACAGCGCATGACTTAGCTTCGGTAACGAATCGTACCACCGTACCGTAATCAGATGGATAGGAATCACTTCCAAACATCCGCTGATCAGCAGGCAAATCAAGTACTGACCACAAGGACTGAAGACAAGGCAGGTAATGGTTCGCATGGGATCGTGACACCATTTATAAGGAGTTCTCTGCCATGTCGAGTTTCGGTAGCACTGCAAAATTACCAACTCATCTAAATTCAAATTAATAATTAATAATCGGCTGAAAGTTCCGTAAGGTAACGAGTGACCGACTCAGCACTTATTCCACTGGATGTTCAAATTAAGATTTTGCAGCATGAATAGCACCGCCGATGAATATAATTTTTCGGTACACAAAAGGTGTTCATACCACGTAAGGAAATGAACGCATAAAAAAGGAATAAACATTATCACGATTTCGAACAAACAGAAAAGGCACAGCACAAATGTAAAAGATTAAAACAACATAACGTAGAACAAACAAAAGACAGGAATATACTTACAAGAACATTATAGGAATGAAAGAAACCTACGTTAGACGTAACACAGACAATGGTGCTATCAAAAACAACCTCTAGGGCGATAAGGGTAGGTAAAGAAGACGATATAAGTGATCTGTGAAGGAGCTCTGATCTAACTTTTATGTCTTTAAGTTAAAATATCGTTCACATACGACAGGAGGGGGGAGGCAAGCATTTTGAAAGGTTGTTGTGGGGAAAATGTATTTTTCAGTACGTTTTTCATATGGTCAGCGTGTGCCATCGTCGAGTCCATTTGCACAACCTCGATACCTACCTACCTATACAGCATCTTAACTCGGATTTTGAAGCCGGTGTACGGCGTCGAATCGTCGGTGAATAAACGAATGTACATCTTTTTTAGATGTTGACTTGAATTATGGACCGAGAACCGAAGATAATTAACTGTTAGACCATACAGTAGGAATTAATACTCTATCGCAATACGTATAAAATGAAGTTGGACTGAAATAGAAAGTAATGCAGATGTCCATTTATCTGAATAAAGCACTGCACAGAAGTAGTGTGACAGGGAACATTATAAATCAATGAACCAACGATTACCAGCCAATCATGAACCAATGAGTTACGAGACTTCCGTGAAATGAAGAAAAATCACAGAACAGCATTGGAAGTTAAGGAAAAAACACGACAAAATTTTCAGTAATGAAAATGATACATAAATGCCGATGATACTTACT